AATTCCGGTTAATGAAGCAAAAGATAGTCCCAAAAGACAAAAGAAATGAACAGTTTAATAATATATATAGGTAATGCTGATGAAAGTAAATAAAAATATCCCTGCAGCAGTTTCTTCCTCAGTCAGAAGCTGAAATGTAGGTTCACCATCCAGCTGATGCCAATCTTGGATATCTTCTTGCGTGGTTTCAGTCGCCCAGCTGCCCTGAAAGCAACCCGATGGTTCTTTTGCGTCTAAATTCCACGTGTCTTTTGAATTGTGTACTTCTAATTAACGGTGAACAGAATTTCTTTATTTTTTTAATTTGTATCCGGATTAACCATAAACGGATTAGTGAATATTCAGAAAAGTGTGACATGTTAAGTTCCGCCATGTCTGCAGTTGAACTTAGCCTGAGTTACGTCACGTCATTACGAACAGAATGCCAGTACAAGCACACCCACGTGTGAAGCATTTGCACGTTCTTAGTGTGGAGGTGGAGTAAATTGGCAATTTTGTGGAAATTAACCTCCCGCCCCCTTCTCTTCACATATTACGTCATACATGCCGAGATTACAGAGGGCGATTTCAGTAGAGACCGAGCCACACCTTTGTAAAGTGTGGGGGAGGGGGTGGGGTTTCAGTATCACTAGTGGCTGTCTTAACCCATTTAATCGTGAGAGATGCAGCAGAAGCTGTCAGTACTGGGTCCAACATGAATCTCCAAGTTAATTTGTTTATATTCGTCACATCGCGTATGTTAATAGGCCTAAATATACAAACTATCGGTTTATTTATTTGTTTCCTACCCATCTCTTTCCCAGCCCCCCCCCTCATTCTGCTTTATGTCTTTTTGCAAACACTGGGCCTTACCTCTTCAATTTTCTGCTAAAGTGTATTCCGAATTTTCTGATCAGCAGTTCGTTGGCCTCGGTGTTCATTATCTTCTGCGTATTTATGGCTAGAAGCTCGAGCTATTATCCAAATTAAGGGCAAATATTCGTCTGGAAAACGGTAAAGCTATCCCTGTAACAGACCGTGGCGGCCCTTAGGGTTGTGAGACGTCGACGCTCCCACATTTCCTGGACAGTCGGCTCACAGACCATAGTGAGGTCAGCCTTACGCGCCAGCCGCCCTTTACCCCCCCCCCCGGAAGATTTCTGGTACTCATTTCTGTTAGAGGTTGAATCAACCCCAGGGTCATAGTGCGGCAGGAAGGAGTAAGTCAATCGAAGAGTCCATTGACCTCATGAGAAATCGAACCCGTGATCATCCGGCTTGCAGCATAGTGCCTCAACCAACACGCTGCCGCGTGCCCCATGCCTATAAGAAGCTAGTATTTATTGTTGGGGTATATTCTAAATAGCATTTAGAAATTCGGCTCGTACGGCTGAGAAAACATTTCATGTGTTGGAGTGTCTGCTTGCCCTCTGGTGTCGACATGACAGAGTAACTTGCTGTGAACCAAGCAGTTGTTATTGTAATTGAACTGCGATTCTGCTTCTGGCTTTCAGACGCTGACCCAGCCTCCTGTCGAATGGGATGTTGGTTCCTCTCTCTTACAAATAGTACATTGATCTGTACCTAAACTCTGGGAATATTTTCATGGTGTAGTTCTTAACCACAGGGACATCTTTAATGTAGTAATTTATTGCCCCGCGCTCTGTGACCACCCCTTGTAAAGTGTCCGCCACAGTTTATTCGCATCGACCCTCGGTAACTGCAGGCTGTGTCCTTCATTAAGCTTTGCACCTACTGTGTCCTAATGGAATCGCCGTGACACTGCGGCAACTTCTCCGACACTGCTGCGGAGCGGGATAGCATGCAGGAGAGTGTGAGGCGTAACACGTTTTTCCGTCTGCACAACTTGGAGAACTTGGCGGAAAGTTAAAATTGAGAGTGAGGATGTGTCCCCACTTGTGACAGACAGGCAGACGGCAGAGCGAACAGCTGCGCGAATCCGTTGCGCATAAATTGTCTCTGATCGGGCCTCAGGCATCCTTGAAAAAAACAGTTGGAAAATGAATGAACTGCAGTTTGGAATTTAAAGCTTGTCTGAATGCCAGATCTGCAGTGTTTCATTTCTTACTGATCTCCCGTTGCCGATAGCGATGGTCGTAAAAAATAAAAATACAAAGTCCATATGCTTAATTAATTAAGCAGTATGTCATAATGACGGAGTGGGGAATGGAGGTATAGCTCCACTCTTGACCTCGGCACTGGATGGAGGTGAGTGGTTAGCTTCACGCCCCGGTTGTTTTAACGCGGGGAAATCGCTCGCGATACCCACTGGTGTGCCCCAGAGTCGGTTTGGACGTTGTGGAGAATAAAAAAGTGTGTTGCCCCTCCCAGGAATAGAACCCCGGTCATGTAGCTCGTAGCCAATCGCCATATCGACTGGGCTATCCAGACCTAACAGCGGCGTCAGTATCTAGACTGTTGGCACGTAATGGTAGGAGGGGGGCGGCATTGGCATAATCGAGGTACATTGTAGCGTTTTCCTGGAGGAAGTGAGAAAACAACGGAAGTCTCCCTCAGGATACTTTATGTCCCGTCCTAGACTCGAACCGAGCACCTTCCGATGCTTACCGTGGGTCAGCCTGCGCGGTCCTATTCGCTGATTCTCTTCCTGATTACTTAATTGTACGCCATATTTAATTAAGTTGCAGGATTGCCAACTGGCAGTAATTTCGGGATATTATGTGTTGCAATTTAGGGTAGCGCAGTGGTCACGCATTAGACTCGTATTCGGAAGGTTCTGGGTTCGAATTCAGGCCGGGACATTAGCTGCCCTGACTGATGTTTTTCGTGGTTTCCCTCACCAAGTCCAGTAAAATTCCCGGATGGTACCTCGATTAGACCACGACCGTGTCCTTTCAGATCTTTTCCAATTCATTACTGAACATCCTACCGCTCGGTGCTATGCAGCCTGAGATAGTGGCAGCAGAATTAAACAGCCTGCGGTCCTGTTTTCTGTTCATCCTGTTGAACTAGATGAATTCCTGTGTTCATCATGTTGAACTATTTGAATTCCTGTCTTTACCCTGTTGAACTAGTTGTATTCCTGTGTTCATCCTGCTGAACTGGTTGAATTCTTAAGGTTAAATAGATTCGTGCCAATCAGTGCTTATCCATGGATCGGTCTTACCATCAGCTTCTAGGTCGACCTCCATTTGTTTTTCCTGTAGGTTTATAATACGGGAATGGATTTCGGAATTGGTTTCTGTGCGACCTTCATACATACATTTTTCTTCATTTCCCAATAATTATGAAGACTTTGGCTGTACTCTGAATTTCTGCCCCCATCACGTCTGTATTCCTGCCGTGTAATCAAACCCGCTGTTCTAGCCGTTGTTTTGTATGGCCCATAATACACGTATGTACGAACATATCTTTCAGATGTTGAATTGGGTGGAGTTCGGTGCTCATGAGGGCCATTACAGGGCGATGGTTAATGGCAGGTAGTAAACAGTTCCTGTAATGTTTGCGGTGCAGACAGTGAGCCAATCAGCTTAACAGCTTCCCTCCCCTCCCGCTCACTGGGCCAACTTCCATGGGGAAGTGACCGCTCATTACACGAGCCAGTGCTGGCTGCATTCGGTAATTGGGGTACATTGGTTACTGTATGTACCACCTGTTTCTTGAATTTAAAAAGGAATCTGTATTGTGCCCATAGAGTGTATTTGTGTGTTCTGTGCGATCCTTAACAATGGAGGCGGAATGTGTTCTCTGTGAGGTCGGTGCTGAAGATTAAACTAATATTTAGATGATTCATCTGTGTACCTCGGTTTCCCCAAATATATACTGGGTAATAGCTCATGTTTGGTCACAGTCTTCTGAGATGTTATGCCGGATAGTGTGGTAGGAGCTTGGCGTTTCGACGGAACGTACACCATCCTCAGACACTCTGCGTAGTTTGTTAGATCTCAGACTCAGCGGTGATTATGAATAGTTCTGTGTTCTCAGATATAACGCTGTGTTGTCCCCCGAAACTCGCCTGCTTACATGTTCAGGGTACAAGTGAAGGCGCAACAGAGGTTGTTAGGCACCAAAACAGATTTACGTTGTCAAAGAGTCTGAGACAAGAAGAGGAACACAGTGGAATTTGATAAGAACAGACGCGAAATGGAACGTGACAGTTTGTTTCGGAACTTAACGTCAGTTTCTATTTGTGCTCAACACTTGAAGTTCCACAGGGACTTGAGGAAGTTTGTTTTACAGTAGCAGCCCCCTTCACTTCTCTCAGAAGGGGCCTTCGTATGGCCACGGAATAACTCCCTCCCCCCCCCCATCGAAGACGCACATGAAATTGAATGGACGAAAAGAAAGCAACACTGGCCCCAGCCTTCAGTAAATCCGAAGGTTGCTCAGTGGAGAGCGTCGTATCAACTACATGTTTCTTGAAGGATTTATTATAAATTTCAAATTTTCAAAACAAACTTCATGCCCAAGAACCGATTTTTTATCGTGTAATCGATTAACGGTATATTTAGGAATTAAAACTATTAATAAGTTGGAATTACACACACTTCTACCTTGAAGATGGAGGCTTCGTGTTGCCCCGGAATGTTAGTATCCACCTGCAGTGCTGCTGTCACAATCCGGAAGGCCTCTGAGAGGACCAGTTTGGTGCCTGTGCGCATGACACTGGACCTACACTTACCATATAAATGTAAGCTTGTGTTTCTTGCAGTGCACAGTGCGATCTTTTAGTCGTGTCCACTGTTTGCGCATAGTGGGAAGTACGGAAGTGCGAGGCGAGTACGCTGAGAAGGAGAGGACGGTACAGTGCACGTGTTGGCAGTAACATCTGCGCGTCTGCGCACTCAGTCGGTAACGGACACGTCTCGAAAAGAGAACGGTACTTAGTACGGACTACAGAGCTGTTAGTTCACGTCCAGAGTGGCCATTTTGATGGGGATAGGACGCGGACCTCAGCATGGATACATTACCGTGCCCTCCCTCCAATCACCGCTCCAGTATGTGCGCATTAGTGATGCCATGTTCTTTGTATGTTACAGGTTTCTCCTAGCTACGCGTGGGGTCGGTGGCTCCATCTCAGATGCGTCGTAAGTACTACATACTGAAATTGTAAATATTTTGACGAGGAGAATAAAATGTACTTGTCATGAGTCGTGTGAAGTTAAATTCAGACGATTCTAACAGAAAAAGGGGGGGAAGAGGAAGATGGAGAATTGGATGGAATAAAGGCAAAGCGAGAAAGTTCATGAGAAAAATAAATAAAAATGTAAAAAGAAGAGGTAAAGCTATCCCAGTAACAGGCCTTGAAGGTGTGAGACGTCGAGGCTCCCACATTTTTTAGACAATCGGCTCACAGATGGTAAGGTTTTCAGCCTTACGAGCCGGTCGCCCTTTACCCGCAGGAAGATCCCTGATACTCATTTCTGTTAGATGCTGAGTCGATCCCAGGGCCATAGTGCGGCTGAAAGGATTAGACCAATTGAAAAATCCAGTAACATATGGAATCGAACCTACTACCTTCCGGCTTGTAGCATAGTGACTCGCCCAACTACGCTACTGCCTGCCCGCAACTAAATAATTAAATAAAATTTCTCCTATCTGTCCCTCTGTTCTACACACAGTCACGCACTTAATGACGATGATGATAATTATAATAATAAAAACAAGAAACAAACTCCGCGGCCCTTAGTCCGCAAGCGAACTATACAGAGTGAGCGACCGCCGCTTGTCGGCGAAGTTAGTGCCAACTTTCGCGGATAGAGGGTATCGCGTGGTCAGCGCAACGGATCCCCACGGCCGTTAATCTTGGTCTTCTAGACCGGAGCCTCTACTTCCTTGAAATAGCTCTTCAGTCATCCTCACGAGGCTGCGTGGACCCCGTTCCAGACCCACTACTACTCAGAAAATCTAGTAGCGCCGGGAATGGAACCCAGGATCTCTGACCACTAGACCACAGAGGCGCGGCAATAATGCATTTCAGTTTCTTTATATAAGTGCTTGCCAGCAGAAGAGCACTGGAAGTGTGCGTGGTGACAAAAGCTAGAACTAGACTAGACTACAGTTCAATCCTAGACAATAAAATGCAGGTGGCTCAGTAGGGTTAATCTAAGGGAAGTGTGTCCTCAATGAAGATGTGTTTACTCAAAACGTACAGAGATCTGTATAAGATGTTTGTATCCGTGACGCTCCCTGTTGAAGGGCTAAGTCTCGAGACATTACTGAAGTTAACGTGCTTAGTGGGTACACGGAGACCAATAGTGTCCGTAATATTCATAATAGAACAACAGTCAATTTTGTCTTGAAAACGTTAAGAAGATTTTGTCGTCTGGAGCAAAGCGTTTTAAAATATAAACAAGTGCAAAAGGAGTTGAGCTGAGTAAATCTGTTATAGCATAAATTTGCAACATTTATGTGTATAAAGACAGCAGTACCGGTTCTCACGGTCTCTTCGCTCGCGGATTTCTTATTTTTCCTTCTGCCCTGAAGATGGAGGCGATACGTTCCTCCGAAACGTCGGTTAGCACCACATCTACACGGTGCCACATCCCAGAAGACTGCTTTCTTCATAGTCACCGCCGTGAAAACCTCAAATCTTTATGTGTATACTTTCCAGCTTATTCAAATCTAAATAATAATTGCGCGTTACCGGAATCAGCATCGGCACGAACTCCTTAAATTTAACCCCTGTCAGTTTTTGTGCCTCAAACTCCAGGGTAGAAGAATGGCAGCTACCCTGAAGATGGAGGCATCAGGTTCCTTCGAAAGGTTACCATCTTCCAGCCTCACGGCGTCACATGCAGGATGACAGTAATCTTCATATCCGCCGCCGTCGGTGCTTCAAATCACACGCCGCCTGTTTTTCTGTTCAACGCCGTGTAGTTTAGTATGGAGGTATCAGCGTTCCGTAGGAACCTGCTTCCTCAATCTCCGCAGTAGCTGTCGCCCTTCTACCCTGAAGATGGAAGCAGCACGTTTCTTCGTCTACACTACACCACTCCCTAGAAGGTCCTTTTACCCTGAAGATGGAAGCAGCACGTTTCTCCGTCTACACTACACCACTCCCTAGAAGGTCCTTTATACTCAGCTCTGTAGAAGTATGAAATTTGCCCTGCGCCTGGAGTTACGTCTGACCCGCTCAACAAATGTGACAGAGAAGTTGCGTACCGTCGCGGCGATTTTATTATACCAGTGTCGAACAGTTAAAACAAGAAATCGCTGTTAGTTCCTTGCGCTTTGTTCGGATCTTGAACTTAGGTTAGGACGGACGGTAACCTTCTTAGCGGTTGTTACTTCGAATCCCCTCTCTGACGTGCCGACTCATGGCCTTATTCAAATGCTCTTCGGGTTTCAACACCGCGTGGAAAGACACGAGATATTGCCATTGCAGAACGCAAAGTTCTTCATTTTCTTCTGCCATTTGGCCTTATCCTGGATCACTTCAATGTAGCCATGCTTTCACACCCCGTTTCTTTAATATCCATTTTAATATTATTGTTCCACTTACTCCAGGATCTCCCAGTCGATCTTTTCCCTTTAAGTTTACGGATCAAAATTGCATATTGATTTCTTCATTGAATGCTACACATTGTCAGGCATTAGTCACTAGACACAGGTTTGGATAATTTTTTGGAATGCTTATTTCGCGTAAATACAAAGTCGTGGAAAAAGCGAGAGCCTTCACTGTGGCGAGGGAGGAAGAGCATCGTGTTGTTAGAAGGTACCTAGGCTTCGCTCGCTAGTCCTTCTGATAGGGACAGTTCGAAAGTGAAGACGTTAGGATGGTTGGAAACAGTGGCTTCAGACAGGGGCCGCGGGATTTTGATTTTCTGAATTAATATCGAACTGAAGAAAGTCGTCTTCTGGGTTTAGGCGCCGTGTATTCTTCGTTTTGGCCGACGTTTCGGAGGAACGTATCGCCTCCATCTTCAGAGCAGGTGAATGGCTTGGAATGCAGAGAGCAGTAGCTGTACAGCTGACTACAGCTACTGCTCTCTGCATTCCAAGCCATTCACCTGCTCTGAAGATGGAGGCGATACGTTCCTCCGAAACGTCGGCCAAAACGAAGAATACACGGCGCCTAAACCCAGAAGACGACTTTCTTCAGTTCGATATTAATTCAGCAAATCAAAATCCCGCGGCCCCTGTCTGAAGCCACTGTTTCCAACCATCCTAACGTCTTCACTTTCGAACTGTCCCTATCAGAAGGACTAGCGAGCGAAGCCTAGGTACCTTCTAACAACACGATGCTCTTCCTCCCTCGCCACAGTGAAGGCTCTCGCTTTTTCCACGACTTTGTATTTACGCGAAATAAGCATTCCAAAAAATTATCCAAACCTGTGTCTAGTGACTAATGCCTGACAATGTGTAGCATTCAATGAAGAAATCAATATGCAATTTTGATCCGTAAACTTAAAGGGAAAAGATCGACTGGGAGATCCTGGAGTAAGTGGAACAATAATATTAAAATGGATATTAAAGAAACGGGGTGTGAAAGCATGGCTACATTGAAGTGATCCAGGATAAGGCCAAATGGCAGAAGAAAATGAAGAACTTTGCGTTCTGCAATGGCAATATCTCGTGTCTTTCCACGCGGTGTTGAAACCCGAAGAGCATTTGAATAAGGCCATGAGTCGGCACGTCAGAGAGGGGATTCGAAGTAACAACCGCTAAGAAGGTTACCGTCCGTCCTAACCTAAGTTCAAGATCCGAACAAAGCGCAAGGAACTAACAGCGATTTCTTGTTTTAACTGTTCGACACTGGTATAATAAAATCGCCGCGACGGTACGCAACTTCTCTGTCACATTTGTTGAGCGGGTCAGACGTAACTCCAGGCGCAGGGCAAATTTCATACTTCTACAGAGCTGAGTATAAAGGACCTTCTAGGGAGTGGTGTAGTGTAGACGGAGAAACGTGCTGCTTCCATCTTCAGGGTAAAAGGACCTTCTAGGGAGTGGTGTAGTGTAGACGAAGAAACGTGCTGCTTCCATCTTCAGGGTAGAAGGGCGACAGCTACTGCGGAGATTGAGGAAGCAGGTTCCTACGGAACGCTGATACCTCCATACTAAACTACACGGCGTTGAACAGAAAAACAGGCGGCGTGTGATTTGAAGCACCGACGGCGGCGGATATGAAGATTACTGTCATCCTGCATGTGACGCCGTGAGGCTGGAAGATGGTAACCTTTCGAAGGAACCTGATGCCTCCATCTTCAGGGTAGCTGCCATTCTTCTACCCTGGAGTTTGAGGCACAAAAACTGACAGGGGTTAAATTTAAGGAGTTCGTGCCGATGCTGATTCCGGTAACGCGCAATTATTATTTAGATTTGAATAAGCTGGAAAGTATACACATAAAGATTTGAGGTTTTCACGGCGGTGACTATGAAGAAAGCAGTCTTCTGGGATGTGGCACCGTGTAGATGTGGTGCTAACCGACGTTTCGGAGGAACGTATCGCCTCCATCTTCAGGGCAGAAGGAAAAATAAGAAATCCGCGAGCGAAGAGACCGTGAGAACCGGTACTGCTGTCTTTATACACATAAATGTTGCAAATTTATGCTATAACAGATTTACTCAGCTCAACTCCTTTTGCACTTGTTTATATTTTAAAACGCTTTGCTCCAGACGACAAAATCTTCTTAACGTTTTCAAGACAAAATTGACTGTTGTTCTATTATGAATATTACGGACACTATTGGTCTCCGTGTACCCACTAAGCACGTTAACTTCAGTAATGTCTCGAGACTTAGCCCTTCAACAGGGAGCGTCACGGATACAAACAGCTTATACAGATCTCTGTACGTTTTGAGTAAACACATCTTCATTGAGGACACACTTCCCTTAGATTAACCCTACTGAGCCACCTGCATTTTATTGTCTAGGATTGAACTGTAGCCTAGTCTAGTTCTAGCTTTTGTCACCACGCACACTTCCAGTGCTCTTCTGCTGGCAAGCACTTATATAAAGAAACTGAAATGCATTATTGCCGCGCCTCTGTGGTCTAGTGGTCAGAGATCCTGGGTTCCATTCCCGGCGCTACTAGATTTTCTGAGTAGTAGTGGNATATCGAACTGTTTACTGTCCTAAGCAG